TTATGGTACATGTCTCCATAAAAAGGGAAATGTGGATACAAATGACCCAAAATCCTGGAAAGGGATGAAGAAGGAAGGAGGGATAAATGAGGGGCTCTGCTTATACGTGAGTGGTTGTTTCTTAAAGTTTAAATATTTATAAATGTTAGTTTAATTGATCTTGTCAATTAAACTGTTTAATTAACTGTTAAATTAATTTAATAAACTGTCAATTAACTGTTTAAAGTTAAGCTTGTGACAAATTACTCATATTAAAAAGAAAAAGATGGGAGAAGACATGGACGTGTTTGAAGGCAAAGAGAAGGGAGCCAACAGCGGGAGAGATTGAAGGGGCAAGGACAGGTGCGAGGGGCTGATGGTGGTAAGCAGGGGACTCCAGTGCCTTTGGGGGAAAGAAAAGATGGAGTTGAGGGGTGTTTGTTTTGAAGAAGATGAAGGATGTGTTCTCCTCTGAAATGGCAGTTAGAAAGGACAAGAGCAGAAGACCATGTGTTGAGGTAAAGGTCAGAGCAGAGGTCTTAGGGTCATAAACTTAAGACTGGGAAGAATCCAAGAGGCTTTCGAGACTATCCCCTTCAGTTTACAGATGAAGAAACTGAGGCTGAGAGAAATTACATGACTCATCCAGGGTCACATAGTAGTAAGTATCTGAGGTGGGATTTGAACTCAGATCCTCCTGAGCTAAGTGGCGCAGTAGATAGAACACTGGGCTTGGAGTCGGGAAGACCAGAGTTCATATTCAGCCTCAGACACTTACTAGCTGTGTGACCCTGGGTGAGTCATTTTATCCTGTTTACCTCAGTTTCCTCGTCTGCAAAAGGAGCTAGAGAAGGAAATGGCAAACCACTCTAGTATCTCTGCCAAAAAAAAAACCAAAACAAATTGGGGTCATGAAGAGTCAGGACTGAAACAAACAACTTCCTGACTCTGAGCTGTCTGCTGTGCCACCCAACTGCAGTTTCAAAGTTTATCAGCCTCAAATTTTAATAAAGTAAATAATGTAACAATAGCAACCACTCATATAGTGTTTCAAGGTTTGCAAAGCATGCTACATGTATCATCTCATTTGATTCTCACCCTATTTAATGGATGAGACAACTGAGGCTATGAGAGCTTAAGCTGCTTGGCCAGGCTTAGACATCTACTAAGGGAGGCAGGACTCCAACTCAGGTCTTCTTGTCTCCAAGTCCAGCACTGTCTTAGTGAGATGCTGTTGGTAGAGCACCTGGCATCATGCCTGGCACATCGCTTCCCCTTCTCTATCCATTGTGTCTCAAAGTAAAGGATGAAGTCCCCCACTGAATGAAAAGTGAGAAGGAGAGACCCGGAATGGCCCCTGGGACTGCGCAATGCAAAGAGATAGAGAAGGCTTCGTTGGCCAAGTTGGAGCTAGCCAGAATGAGCTGGGTCCTAGTCTACATCCTCGGGTGTTTTCGTCTAGCGCCACCCAGTGGGATCTTCTGATAGAAGCAGAGGCTGTAATAAACAGCTCAACCAGGGTTGGGGGCCAGCCCATAGGAGCTGAAGAAGGTCAGAGTCCAAAGGTTTCAGTGGTGGAGGACAAGACTGAAGTAGACACACTGAGATTTAGAACAGGAGGGAACCCTTTAGGAATTAGCCATCTGAGGGAGGTGGGATGGGTTAAGAGATCCAAGGGCTTGCTGAGGGCTAAGAGGTGGCACAGTGGATATAGTCTAGGAAATGAGAGATGACTGTTAGAAGAGAGCACAAAATTGGAAACCTCAGAAAGAGGTCATTGGATCCTATATTTAGAGCTGGAAGACACCTTAACTCCCCCCCCCCATCATTTTACAAGTGAGGACCCAGAGGCACAGAGAAGACATAGCTCATGAAGTAGAATTTGAACCCATATCTTCTCACCTCCAAGTCCAGTTTCCCATCCCTTATACCTGTGTGACTAATGTGGGAGCGGACATCAGTGAAGTCAAAGAAAACCAAAAGGATGTTGAATTATCTTTAACATGATTGTTAAAGTAACCAAGTTTATGTCAGGAAATGGAGTATGGTGGCAAATTTAGAAGTCAAGTCAAGTGCTGAAGTTGCCTAAGGAAAATGGAAATAGGTCTGGGGAAGGAGGGATGCTGCAGTAGCAGAGGGGTGATCGGAGACGATGGCAGCTAAAATGTAATATAAGCAAATGTCCAGAAATGGCTCTTCCATGCTGAGGAGCAGTCTGGTTTAGAGGACAGAAGACTGAACTTGGAGTCAGGAAGACCTGAGTTCAAATCCCACCCTAGACACTTACTGGCTAAATGGCACATACGTGTCAGTCTTAGGACTCCCTTCCTCAAACCCATGCCTCTGGGGAGATTGGGGAGGTGAAAGCCACACTGCAAGGTATAATAAAGTTGTTTTTATCCTGGTCACTTGACCAAGTGGCTGGGGTCCTGAGGGGGCAATAATCAACACGTTATGAGGCACAGGGAAGGACTGATAGTCCTTATCCTATCTCCTGCCTTATTTCAGCTGGGTGAGACTGGGATCCATTTTACTAAGCATGTTCTTTTATTGTGTTAAAGACAGCACCCTATTGATTTAATCTTGTTTCTCATAAACACTTATGGCTGACTCCCACCCCCACCCAACCTATGCCCAGTGTCCCAGCATCTCCTGGTCTGCAACATGGGACATGTGACAGTTCTGAGAGTAACCCAGGAGATGGCGACCTGAGGGGCAGAACTGGAGCAAGAGCGGTTTGGGAATCCCAAAGAGGTTACTTGTCCATGCTAGCCCAGGCCATCTCTGCCCCCTCTCAAGAAGATATGTCATGTGTCCTGAGACTTACACTTATATTGCCATTTATTTGACACTTAGTACTTATCTTTTTGCGGGTATTTTTTTTAAGGGGGAGAAGTATTGATTCCAGAAACTGTGGACTGGCTTGAGAGTGATACCCAGTAAAATTCCAGTACAGATTTTGAGATGGTTTGTAAACATTTAGACAAGAAAACAAGTAAGAGCCAGTATGGGTCCATAAGCCATCCCAAGTTATGCTGATATCCTTTTCTGGAAGGATTACTAGACAGGTAAATCAGGGAAATTCATTGGTCATAGTATATTTCAGCAGCGTATTTAATCAAATGTCTTATGATGTCCTTTGAATGAGTAGGAAAAATACAGTTGAGTGTATTTGTAACTGATCGTTCCAGAGTCTCCAAGGAATATCGATTAATGAATCAATGTCAGACTAGAGGGAGCTCTCTAGATGCTCTGTCCTAGACTATATCCTGTTAAACATTTTGAACAACTAGAAAATATTAGACGTATGCAACACTGAGAGAGTGAGTGAATGTAAGACAGCAGGGCATTCTGAGGGAGGACAAAGAGGGGCATGTGCTACTCAAATCCAAGCATCACCCTCACCTTGGCTACCACTCCCTTTCAGGCCTTGAAGGAGACAGGCCAGGACCCTAAGCCCAAGAACCTGGGAGTAGCAGGGGGCCCTCTCTACCCCACCCCACCCCCCAGACCACTGACTGTCCCAGAGCAGCCTCTATGGAGAGCCATCCATCTCTACCAACAGCCATTGATGGAGCAGGCCAGCCAGCCTGGTAGAAGTCCATGGCCTCCAACCAAATGACTTCACCAATCTATAGATTTATAACTAGATGGAGGAGACACAGAATAAATTAGAGTGGAAGGTTGAATGGATGGGGGAGTAAGTCCAATGTTGGGAGAGGGAAGTACAGAGTTAGGAGATTCATAAAGGTGCATGTAGTGGGGCACAGTGACTAAGTTATGATTAGAACACTCTAGAAACAAGTTAAACAGGGGTCTGCTGTTGTCCTGCCTAGAAACAGCATTCTTTGCCACAGCTGCCTGTTGCTTGTTCATTGGAGCAGTTCCTGGTCTACTCACAGGCCTTTGAAGCAGTGCGCTGCTTTCTAGAAATGTCCTGATTCCATATTTTCTGCTTTCTGAGTTTCTAGAGCACAAGGGCAATCATTTCATCCAGGAAGGCCTTCCTCCAGATCTATAAGCATGAGGTGGTTAACATTCTTGCCCAGGGTCACACAGCTAGTAAGTGTCAAGCATCTGAGCCCAGATTTGAACTCAGGTCCTCCTGACTGCAAGGCCACTGCACCACCTAGGTGCCACGTAAAGATAATTTTTAACATTCATCTGAAACTTTTTTTTCAAGTTCCAAATTTTCTTCCTCCCTCATTCTATGCCTATTTTATCCCTCCTTCCCTGGAGTCATCTTAGAACTCTGTATTTCAAAAAAAAAGGGGGGGGGGAGGAAGAAAGAAAGAAAGAAAGAAAGAAAGAAAGAAAGAAAGAAAGAAAGAAAGAAAGAAAGAAAGAAAGAAAGAAAGAAAGAAAGAAAGAAAGA